GCACTAATCCGGTAAGAAATCCAAGCTTTACTTGCTTTGTCGAATCAATGGACTTCTCCTGTTTAAAAGAAACTAGTGTGACTGTTGGTAACTAAACAAGAAATCACAAAAACTTTAAGCATGAGAACAGTGCAATTTCCATACTTCCTGTAACAAAGGAGACTCCAGCAGATCTTCACCTGCTTGCTGTGATTCTATCTCACTCTGCTGATCTGTGGCACTTCTATGAGCAGAAGAAAAGAACTCACCAGCCTGAAAAGATCAAATTCAGATAAAATAAGCTCGAGATGCACATCCAATTTAACCATAAAATTAGAAACATACTTATCACCATGAAATTGCTCATACTCTTATGATTCATCTTCATCACACATTACCTATCGAGGGATAGCCTTAGTACCTTAACTTTTCCTTATTGTAAATTAAGACTTACAGACCAATAATTCGAAGTTGATAACTATTCAAATCTCCCAAAACATACTACTCCTTGCGTAATCCAACATAACATATCTTCAAATCTGTGAACTATAAATATGGAAAAATATACCTTCTGAAGAACCAACTTGTACTCCATAAGCTCATTATAGGAGCGCTGCAACTTGTCATTATTCGCATTGATTTCAACAAGTTCAGCTTCTAGCTCTCCAAGCTTTACCTAACAAGCAGAAGGAAGAAAAAAATATATCCGTGAGAAAACGAAAAAGCATGACATGGAAAAGAAAAGCAGGGATCCCCTTTTTACCTCAACATCATCCAAGTCAATGTCATTTTCTTTCACTAGCATTTCCTTGGCTGGAACTCCTGCTTTTGACATTTGATCTTTGAAGAAACGTATTTTTCGTGCCATCTCTCCACATCTTTTAATCTTAATCCATCAAAAACAAAAGGCAAATTATCACAACCGTGTAAGATGTACCTTCTCGTAATGTAATAATATGAGCAAGATTGTATCACAATCCCTAAACAGATACACAAGCATGAATTTACCTGAGCTGCGTAAGTACGTTGAAATGGGCTCTTCTCTGAATTAAGCTGAGATCAACATTAAAAACAAAGGTTTATAAGAATAGATTTATTCACCAAAAACCATTGACCAAAAAGATCTGTGGTGCGGAAAATCTATATCTCAATCATCTCTTAAGAAAACAACTAAAAAAAAATCTCAAAACCAAACGCCAAAGTCAAAATTGATCGCGATATTCAAATAACAGCTATACATAGATGCGTAAACTCTTTTAAAAACCTGAACTAAACCTCCTAAGGTTCCAAATTCGAAAACCCCGTCAAAATCCAAATCCAACAGAGAAAATCGTTCATTCTACGCGGATTGCAATTGGAAATAAGAGAATGCACAATCCAATCACATATGTCGTCAACAAAAAAACATCGAGAGAAGGAGAAGGAGTACGGACGTCTTTGAATTGGACGAGGCCAAGATCTCCAAGGTAAGAGACGGTGAGATGAGCAGATTCCATGGGAACAATGAGCTGAACAAGTTGCATCGTCTCTGAACGCATCAGATCCATCGGCGGACAACAGCCACCGCCACCGCCGCTTTCCGCCATCGTTCGTCGATGAGCTTTTTTGAATCAAACGAGAGGAGATGATTGATTTTTTAGAAGTTATTTGTCTGACGATAATGTCAGAGAGACCACGACGAAGCAAAGACGGAGGAGAGATTGTAGCTGTAAATTATTTTGTCCCCATCGCGTTTTTTTATTCCATAATTGCCCCTATTGAGTTCCCATATTTACCAGATATCTTTGTTATTGGGCTTTTAGTGGGCTTTAATAACATCAACGTTAGGATAACCATAAACCGGACATAAAAAAAAAAAGATCAAATAAAACGAACTAACATAAATATATATCCTATAGAGAGACCAAACAGAAAGAGTGGAGGAGATTTATAAAACAAGCTTATCTAAGAAAAAAGAATGCAGCTTCGCAAATCAAAACATTTATGCCAAAAGGAGACGTTTTGGGTTGTAGTTGCATCACTTAGGGAATCATCATCATCATCCAATCTTATTGGTGGGACTCTCACTAATTGGGTTGAATCAATCACAATCATGATATGCTTTCAAAATGGGCCCAATATTGGCCCATGAGTGAGACCCAAACAACAAAGTTCCGAGATTCTAGGTCTCTCTTCCTTTTCTTTTTCTTAGACAAGGCATATAAAATCCCAGCAGAATTTTCTAGGAATAACAATTGGACGTGTGAATTAGGAGAAAATATACGTAAATCGTAATGAGTATAATGTAAACAAGAACGTATTTCTACAAAAATTAGTCACGATTTGGACCACATAAACTCTCACACTTTGTGGAAGCCCCTTTGCCCATTGGTGAACAAAGGTTGATTAATGCTTCTACACCAAAATGTCTGGGGTTCGAATCCCAGGTATTGCGATTTATTAACAAATTTGTAGATTAATGGAGGCAAGTGTGCAAGAGATCTCCAGCGATGTACAATTATAGCCGTTCGCCATGATTCTACGCAGAGAAGGAAGTGTCGCCAGGTCGTGGATCATTGAAAGTATTCATCAAGATTACGAAGAATGAAGTGTAGTCTGTCGTGAATCTAGTAAGGGTCGGAAGAAATTGTCAGTTGTAGAATCGTCTATGTAACAGTTCTCATAATTTACAATTAATAATAAATCTAGACGAAAAAAAAAAAAAAAAAAACTCTCACGCTTTTTTTTTCTTCATTTCCTTTCGAGACAGAAATAAAAAGTAAAGTGGGATTATACGTATTAATATACACTGAGATCTACGGGATTTGGACGGACATGATTGAAAGAAGCAATAAACTTGTCAGGAAATGGTCCACGAACCCATTGTTGGGTTTTAAGACAAACGATATAATTAATACTCAGCTCACAAAAATTGACGCACCGACTGATAACAAATATGAAAATTTAGTGTGGTAGTTCGAGATTAAACTTGATAACAAGAAAATAGAAATCAAAGGATACTCAATTAGCAGAGCGGAAAAGAGTTAGCATTATTTAACACAAAACAAGGACAAAGATATATGGATGAATGATTGGATTTTGTTAGGTTACATAAATATAGAAACAAATTTTAAGTAATTGGAGTCCATCAATGAATGGTTGATGGTAGTAGTTAATAGGTAAAGGTCCCATGCTTACTATTTAAAAAAAGGGAATGTCTAAAAAGTGCACGAAGAACCTTTTCAAAAAGTCCAGTAGTACATACATCCATGTGACTCAAGATCTACAAATATTATATAGAAATTTATGATTTCTTTAAAAATCACGCAGTGAACCTGTTATTTTTTTCATTGTAAAATGGTTGGTTTGGTTTTCCTTTGTATACGTCAAATGCAAACCAAAAGACGATGATATGAATCCACGCAGCAGTCTTGATAAAAAATTTGAGATCAACATTATCTTTTTTTAGTTCCAAGTACGAACAACTTCGTTGAAACCCAAACACAAGAGTCAGTCAAAATAAATGTATTGATGTTTAATCACTTAATGTAATATGGGAAGTTGACAAAAAATAGTAACGAGGGGAAAATTCGAGAGATCATCCATATCTTCTTCCTCTAAAAGTGTTTTTTGTCGTCTTCTATCCTCATAAATTATATATTATCTAAAATTATTATTCTTCAAAAGATCAGATCCTTTTTTTGTCGGCAAAAGATCAGATCCACTCTACTTATTTTATATCAAAAGTATTCAGCGTTTATTATACCAAAAAATAAATATCATTTAAATTAAGTTCGAACAATTTGGCCGACATGACCGCAAAGCCTTAGAGCATGATTATAGGTAGTTTCTTAAGAAAATCTTAAGATTATGTTAGCATTTAAATGATTATATTTATTCCCAAAAATGTCTTTAAGAGGTGGAACAAAAAAAATGCTAAGAGGTAGAACAAAAAAAATACTAAGAAGTGGAACAAAAAAAATATTACTTAAATATTCTTAAGAAGTATTATTAAGAGCCCTTGGATAATCATGCTTCATGCTTTTATATGAGTACGTTTGATTGTAGAATTTTTGACCGTACTTACAAGAAGAGAACAATGGATCATGTCTCCATTTTTAATAATCTCAACGGTAATTAACATCACTTTCTAACTATAAGAACATAGAAAGTGAAAAATAGAAGAACTGAAATACAAAAATTTGTAAGAATGAAAATGAATTTAACCAAATTGAAGTTCATAAAGCTATGGTTGGTTAGGTTTAGACCGAAACCAATCAAATACATGAAGTGTTTGTTGAGTTTATGAAGAAGATTGGAAAATGGATTTGTCGTTCAATAATGATATAGTATTTGTTTCAACTAATACACATAATCTATAAATTGAAATAAATAAGAGCGGCGATAATTAAAGAGGTAAAAAAAGGAAGTAGATATATACACATGGATGATGGACGACAAAAGCTGGCATGAAGAGCTGGCCATTTGTTAAAGTTCCCTCACCTTTTCCATTTATTTTAATTAGATTTATTTCGATTTTCTTTTGTCGTTTCTATTTATTAGATTAACTAGCATCTGACTAAAAAGATGAATTTTAGACCAAAAAGATTGTATCCACTTGCACTTTTCTTCCATAGATACACTACAAGAATATTAACTTTTAATAGCATCCGAAAAACGCTATCTAAAGATACCATAGCGTTTTGATAAACGCGGTGTCTGCGCCCGTGATTAAAAGTCCCTCATTTTAGATAGCGTTTTTCGGATGCTATTAAAATATTATTTTTAATAGCGTTTCCGCTCAGTTTAGATAACGTTTTTACACAGCTATTAAATATTTTATAATAGCGTTTTAGAACTGTTATTAATGATATTATTAACAGCGTTTTATAATTGTTATCTGTAATAATACTATAGCATATAAATAAATGCAATTGTTTCATATATTCTGTAATAAACATTAATTATATATATAAAAAGAATATAAATGAGAGGAAATAATTCATTAATAATATAAACCAAATACATAATTTTTACATGCATATTAAACAGTACTAAGATAACAAGTCTAAAGTACTAAGATAACAAGTTTAAAGTAGTAAGATAACAAGTTTCAAAGATGTCTCTCACTCACAGCATTATAATCTTCTCATTAGGCCAAGCCACAAATGTTCCTCCTGCATCAGCTATTGTTTCAAATTCAGGACTTGCTCTCCACACTCGTGCATCATTAACCTTCGGAATCTCTACCAAGACCTTGCTAGCATTGGGACCTAACGGTCTGCAATGGACCGTATCAGCTGGATCATTGGAATACACACGACCTATTGCAACTCTCTGACCAGAATTTCCAATATCCATAAGAGCACACTTCGGTTTCCCACCTTTGCCGCTACTACCAGTGCTAGGACTACCACTCTAAAACCAAAATGACAAATATATTTAGTTTTTTTCCTATCAAAAGGCATGGCAACATCAACACATCCAATACAGAAAAAACTTACCTTCTCTACTGATTTTGTAGTTGCTTCCTCCATTGGTGATTTCCTGTTTGCGTCTTCAGGTTGAACCTGTTGTTTTAACCTATCAAAAGGCCATGCAATGGTCTCATTGAGAGCATCAGCCATAAAGGGGATTTCAGTGGTTGGTCTCCATAGATAGGCATCAGGTTTAACCACCAACGTGATCTTAACAGTTGCAGCCTTTAGTCCCAGAGGCATACCATTAACCAATTGTGAAGGGTCAGTTGATATCAATATACCCTGAGCAATCACTTCATCATCTTCTCTCCAATACTCATAGATATCAACTAGTCCTACTTCTTCAGCAGGTTCCTAATGAATCATGCAACCTGTATTAGTAATCTAATCTATATTAATAAATAAAGGACTATAAAAGCAGTAGTAATTTACCTCAGACATCATAGTATCAGGAGGTTGCGTTGCGTCATCATCCAATATAATCTTCACAAAGGGCCATGCAACTTTCATTCCTATAGCTTGATGAAGAGAAACAATAGTTTGACTGAGTGGTCTCCAAAGAGATGCTGTTTTGTCTGATACTGAATTCACAAGCACAGCAGCTGCATTAGGACCTAATGGAATTCGACCAATCTTATATGTGTGTTCAGAGGAGCAGAATTCTCCTTCTCCAACAACCACATCCCCATCTAACTGCCAATTCAGTATCTGGCACCTAACTCCTCCTTTGCTAACATCACTTAAGTCAGATTTGGAACCATGATCAATCTGTTTGTAAGACAGACACAATATATAATCAAAACAAGCATGAAAGTTCATATATATTTTGAACAACAAGTGTGAAAACTTACCTTTTTACAAGCAATCTCAGAAACCACATTATGCAAATTTTCATACTTGCTTTTTAAATCAGTGTAACTAGCTTCAAGCTGCCTAACATGTGAGTCTCTAGCCTTTAAAAAGTCCAAATTAGTAATAGTAGCGCCTCTACCCAACCCCCTAAGTCTTCCTGGTTTATCTTTTCCAAGTACCTTACTCACAGCATCTTCCCTAACATTATCAGTGGATGTTGAACCAATTTCACTATCTATCGCCTTAATCTTTTCCTGATATAAGATAGTTTGCAGAAAAAACTTTGTATTAGTAAATTTTAGTTTGAAAAGACAAACATACATTAAACTGAATGTATATAACTCTTACAATAGTTTCTGCAAATTCTTCCCTAACAGGTCTCCCATCAGAATGTGTATGTCCTGCAATCCACACCTTACTTCTAGTAACTTTGCTAGGCTCAGAACTCTTTTTTTTCTACATTTTTATTAAAGTCATTGTCAACATAGTTACATTAATAATACAAGTAACCAATTCAATACACTCACAGACATACATACCATTTCATCTTCTAATCGAGCCATGCCTTTGCGGCTGGTGGTTTGCGGAATTTGACCTTGCTTCATCTTCCTGAATATCTCACTTTTTTCCTATTCACACAAATAGTTATATGACAAAACTAATGTCAAAATTAAATAAACAAATGAGCTTATAGATATAATTAATATACACTTTACATTACCTGAAAAGCCTTGCTTTGTTTGCTCTTCACCCAACTCATCCAAGCCGATGCACATGGGATATTGGTAGGCTTTAGTTCCAGTATTTCAGACTTGCTTTTAAGATTCCGAATTTTGGCAACAAGACGAGATTTAGAAGACCTCCACAAATTACACATCTGACCTAAGATAACTCTTTTGTGCCAATCTTCGTTTAAATTGAACCTCCCCTGTCCAACATTGCCATCATACAACATCAAAACATTTAAGTTGATTGATAAAATAATATAAACAACATAACAAACTACCTGGATTTCTTCCCACATCATCTCTTTTGTCCTTACATCTAGATGTCTCCAGTCATCTAGCAGTACTGACACATGCTCTCTCACAATGATACCAACAAAGGATGATAGTCTAACTGATCCACGTCCAACATGATTACCTATAGCATTAAAGTCCACTTCTACCTTATCATCACTACTCTTTCCAAGTTTGCGCATTCTAGTTGGACCTCTTGTCTTTTTTTTGTTGTTACTAGACTGTTGAGTTTGTGACTCAGAAGCATTAGAGCCGCTTTGGTTGGAAGGAGGATTGATTTCTTCTTCTTCATGTTGTGAGTTTTCTTCTGCTTCTTCATCAAGCATTTGATCATTTTCTGTGTCAAGTGATTCTCTTGCTTTCTCATTCTCTGCAGTTTTATCTCCATCCTTATCTACAGTATTCACTGCAGGCCCTGGTTTTTGTTTCTTTTTCTGTGTTAGTGACACTGCTGGACTCGCTTCAAGGCCTACTTGGCGCTTACTGCGACGGGTTTTCCTGTTTGGTACAGTTTCCATTGTACTCAATTACCTGAAACACAATCAATTGCATAATTAGTTATCTACTAAAACACCTTCACAATCATTCCTAACACAGAAATTCTCATCATCAGAATCTTGGTCTCCTAAATCTTCATTTGTCTGGACTGATAATGGTGTAATAACAGATGCCACTTCTGTCTCTAACTCATGGTAGCCTCGTGGAGGAGCCCTCATGACAACATACCAAGGTGAGCAATCATCATCTCTAGAGTAGAAAATTTGTTTAGCTTGTGATGGCAGTATGAAAGGATCATTTAAGTATGATGACTGATTCTGATGGAGATTCACAAGTGTGAAACCATCTTCCACTTTGACTCCATTTCCTTTGTTAGCCCAATTACACCTAAACAAAGGAACCTGGAACATGTGGTAGTCAATCAATATGATCTCCTTGATTACTCCATAGAATGATACTATGTCTGCCTCATGTCTTGTATCTTTAGCACTGGCTCTACACATAGAAAATGCTTCATACATGACTCCACTATTCTGAGTCTTCCTCTTCACATCATCAGTGTGGAACCGATGGCCATTCACTATATACCCCTTGAATGTTTGAGCATTATGTCTAGGTCCAAAAGCAAGCCATCTCAGCCTAGTAGAATGGTTCTCCGAGTTACTTGATATCTAAAATAGGAAAACAGAAGAAAATAACACTTAAACATGAAAGAGACATAAATTTCAATACAAACACAATTCATATACTTATAACCTTTTCTTTGATCCACTTTGGGAACCTTTCTGTATGATACTGCCACAATATAGTTGAATTATTTGCACATTTTGCATTTGTAGCTTGCAATTCCTCCAAATGCATCCTGTTTTAAAAAATTAAGAATATATCTAATGTACATCAAAAAGAAACTGGAACAGATTATAAAATTAAACACTTACTCAACATATGGCTCCATGACTGCTGTATTCATGAGAATGTACCGATGAGCTATCTCTCTTTCCTTTTCTGTGAGAGTTTTTTCAGTTGCCTTATTCAATGGTCTGCCTTCAAGCACAGGTTGATCTGCTTCCACATCCTCATTGCGATTCAGTCTTTCTTGAACTGGCACAGATTTCTGGAGAAACTCCAAACAAAATGAGATGCATTCACCAGCCAAGTAGCCCTCAGCCATACAAGCTTCTGGTCTTGCAAAATTCTTCACATATGCTTTAAGTGTTTTCATATACCTACATGTTAATACAAAGATGAGTTATTAGTAATCTAAACATATTCTATCAGCTAATAAGATAACTTTATATGACTTCAAGTAAAAAAGTTCACCTCTCAAATGGATACATCCATCTGAAGTGGACAGGACCACCTAAGCGTGTTTCTCTTGCTAAATGCAAAGGCAAGTGAAACATAATGTCAAAAAGGGATGGTGGGAAGTATCTCTCCAACTGACACATTGTTTCAACAATCTCTGATTCTAAGGCAACTAAATTCTCTGGATCAATTACGCGTTGGCACAGCCTAGTAAAGAAATTGCAGATACGGTTCAATGCAATACGAGGTCCTTTAGGCAGTAAACCTCTCAATGCCACTGGTAACAGATTCTGTAAGAGCACATGATGGTCATGTGACTTCATACTACCAATATTGGGAGGATCTACAGACACACAATTGGAGACATTGGCACAGTAACCATCAGGGCCTCTGAATTTAGCTAACCTTCTGCAGAATATACGTTTTTCTTCTTTTGATAACCAATATGCAGCTGGAGGTAAGTAAGTTCTCTTCCCACGTATTTGTGCATGTAAGTTGCTTCTAATCCCAATGTCTTCTAAGTCTTTTCTTGCTTTCAAGCCATCCTTGGATTTCACACTATGCATCAGAAGTGATAGTAATGCATCAGAGACATTCTTTTCGACGTGCATGACGTCTATATTATGTCTCACAGGCATATCCTACCACATGAAATAAAAGTAGCTATCAGAAACATAATGACAAAATTAATTGTAAAATAAAACAATTAAGAAACTGTTAATGATATAAGTACTAACCTTCCAGTAAGGTAATTCCCACAAGATTGATCTTTTTTTCCATCTCCATTGATCATCATCTTCTTCATACTCTGAACTAGCATCATCTTCTTGGTTGTCATTCCTTTTTCTTTTCTTTTTCTTGCCTAAAGGTTTACCAAATACATTGATAAAGTCTTTAAGACTCTCAGAGATTTCTGCTCCACTCTGAATTCTCTTTGCAGTACCAACCTCAATTGTATTGTCAAACCAGCCTTTTCTGCGTCTGTAAGGATGATCATATCTCAATCTTTTCCTATTGCCCATATATACATGCTTGCGACTAAACTTTAACCACCTATGAGGTGTATCCTTCCCACATACATTACAAGCTTGCTTTCCCTTTACTTTACATCCAGCTAATGTACCTAAAGCTGGATAGTCAGTGATGGTCCACATCAACATAGCTTTTAGAGTGAAACTTTCCTTCTTAAACGAGTCAAAAACTTCAATACCTTCATTCCATAAGTCCTTTAGGTCATCTATCAAGGGCTGTAGATACACATCAATGTTGTTGCTTGGGGCTGTTGGTCCAGGTATTAACATCGTTAACATCATGTTCTCAGCTTTCATACACTCAGTTGGAGCCATGTTGTAATTGACTAAGAGCACCGGCCATGTGCTGTACTTGGTGTTCTGGATAGAGAATGGATTCATCCCATCAGTAGACAGACCTAGCCTAAGGTTTCTAGCATCTGCAGCAAACTCTGGAAATTTATCATTAATCTGACCCCAAGTCAATGAATCAACTGGATGCCGCATTGTACCATCTTCAGTAGCATTAGTGGAGTGCCAACACAAAGCCTCAGCCAACCTTGGTGACCTAAACATCCTCCTAAATCTGTCTTTTATAGGAAAATACCTTAGCACTTTTGCTGGAATCCCTTTCTTATCCTCACCAGTGTGCTTGTCTTTTTCCCATCTTGATTCACTACATCTTGGGCAGGTCACCAAATCCTCATACTCATTGCGATAAAGGATGCAATCATTCTTGCAGGCATGAATAGAATCATAACCAAAACCAAACATCTTCAAAAATCTCTTCATCTCATCTGTAGACTTAGGCAGCACATTGTCTTCAGGTAACATGTCATGAACTAGGGTTAGAAGCTGATCAAAAAAGTTTTCTGACATACCACTCTTGACCTTTATCCGGTAAAGTCCCATGATTGCAGAAACCTTTGTGTAGCTCAAACAATTCTGGTACAATGGAGTTTCTGCATCCTCTAACTTCTTCCTAAACTCATCTTCTACTTGATGATCAATATCATCAAACTCGTCTGCATTCTGATTCTGAGATGGTTGCTTGCCTTCAGTTTCTATAAAAGCTGTCCTAATCAAATCATAAGCCTCATTTTCAGAAGTATAAACATCTGTTCTGTTAGCATCCCATATATCACCGTGTTTACTCCAACAGTTGTTCTTTTTGTACTTCTCATCCATCCCTCTAATCACCAGATGATCAAAGACTGTCTGGGTTGACTGATGAACAACATTGCGGCAATCAAGGCAGGGACACCACATATGTGATACATTACCCAATCTTTTTGATGAATCAAACACAAACATAGTTGCTCCTTCCTCATACTCAACACAATTCCTGTAAGTAACAAACAATGTTATTAGAAAACTCACAGTCCCCTAATCATTAAATGAAATCAAAGAAGATGTGTAATAACTTTTAGGTGAATACCTTGGTAACCAGACCCAAGCTTTATCCATGTTAAAGTAGCTCCGACCAAATGTGCATACAAGGTTATTAGGAATAGTAGAAGTAAGCCACAACAACAGTAGAGAACTGCTAAAGAATCAAGTGTGAGTGAGGTACCTGCTAGATGTTATTCTCTTTTGCTTAACTTGAGCTACAGAAGGAAACACAACAGTATAAATCGAGAAATCTGAATGAAACATTTAAGATAAAGACCTATTCAAAGGAGAAACACATAGAAGACATCATACCTTGACACTAGAAGAACTTGAATTAAACAAAACCTTCCTGCAAAATAGTAAACCCAATCGAAACACATCAAAACAACATGCAAGCTAGAACCCTAAATTACTAAAAATCAAACATAAAAGCTGTATCTGGTTTATTGTTAACAAGAAAGACCCGATTTTACCTTTGCATAAACTCGATTCAGTAGGGATTTTGTTTCCAAGACTTGGAAAGTGAAAATCGAGTTAAAGGGGAAGCTGGATTTAGGTTTTCTGGGTTCTAGAGACTGAAGATTTCTGGGTTTGAGATACTGAAGATTTGTGGGTTCGAGAGAGATTTGTGGGTTCGAGCTAGATAGATTTGCTGTGTTCCTTCGCGAGACTGAGATACACAAAGAATCGAGAATGAAATCGATAGAATGAGAAGAAGACGAACTAATGAGATAGAGATTTGTGTGTGAGAGCTTCAGACAGAGACTGAGATTTTTCGATGTGAATGTCGAGCAAAATGGAGGCAAAAAGGGTTTTAGGTTTTCTAAGTGTGAATTGGGGATTTTGGTTTGGAGGCAAACAAATTTTAGCCCAAAATTTTCTAAGTGTCAGCGGCAAAAATTTTAGCCTATTATAACGTTAAGAAATGTTTATGCTATTGAAACGTTATGCGAAAATTGGATTTTTAAAACGCTTTGTATATGATAGCATATACTTATTCACAAACGCTATCTTAAAATCTCTCGTTAAGTAACGATAGCATTATGCTCACAAACGCTATCTTATAATGCTATTAAAAGTCAATATTCTTGTAGTGATAATACCTTAAAAGTTCCCACTTCTAGGTCTTTTACATTCGTATCACACAATAAGTTTAAAGAAATTGCACCCTATAACCTAAAAAAACAACAAAATTAAATATCTAACCTCTAATCCCCCTATTCACTCTCTTTCTCTTCTTATCTCTCTCTACCTTTTTTCTAAAAAACTAATTTTTCTTTTTTTTTGGGTTATTCACCTAAAGGGAAAAAACCCGAAAAAACCGCCATGTATTTTTTTTTTGGCCGTTTAATACGCGTGTTATTAAAGTTGGAATAAAAATGCCTGGTTTAATTTCAATTGCCTTTTAAAATCGTCGTGTTTTAAAAATTAGTATAATCCTACACCCGCGTTAACAGACGTTAACTCTGCTAACAGAATGGCTAACCGCGGTTAAACCTTAACCCAACATCGTTAATTAGACAAACCACGGACACTGTTACCCTTTCGCATTCTTCCCCAAATCGATTTGGTATCAGAAACCCTAAATATCTCTATCTCTTTGAATTTCGAATCGATTTGTCGGAAAACAAGATAATCGATGTGTTAAGTCGCTTGATTGGTTGCGGTTTGGTTAGAATTTGAGTTCAAGGAGTAAGTTTGGTCGCATCGTGATGAGGTATGTAATCGATTTAAGATTTTTAGGGTATCGATTTCTGGGTTTCTAACTTCATCTCTGTCTCTATGTAGTGGTTTCGATTGTTTGAAACTTCATATTAAGTTCGGAGGAGATGTCTGCTTCAAGGATGAATGTTTCACCTACATCGGAGGATTCGAGAAGAGGGATATGTTGGTGGATCCAGACATGATGACTTTTTCGATCTTCGACGATTTCCCGAAAGAGAATGGAGTATCTGGTGCCGTGGAAGCAGTTTGGTACAAACTTGTTCATGAAGACTTTGATTCTGTAAGAGCTATCTCTGAGGACAGAGATAGTGGGATTAGGCAACTGTGTAGTGAAGCTCTGATTGGTGGAGAAGTCGATATATACATTCAGCAAGCTGTGTCTGAACCAACACCGTTCCCTGTTGTTGGAGAGGATGAAGAGTCTGATGCAGAGGAAGAGTCTGATGCAGAGGATGAAGGAGATAAAACTGGTGACAGAGCTGGTGAAGAAGACAGAGCAGAAGCTGATGGTGTAGATCCAGTAGAAGAATGTATGGGAGATGATCCTCGGTTTAGTGCCTTTTATGAGGAAATTAATCAAGTTCCAGAAGACGCTGTGGATGAGGAGACTAATCAAGTTCCAGAAGAAGCTGTTGATGGTCAGGCTAATCACCAAGCTGATGAAGGAGTTGCTGCAGGTGAAAGTGAAGAAGATGAAGATGATTTTGAGAGACAATGCATGGATGCTGAGCGACCTGATCCTGCTATGGATACAGATGAAGAATGGGATGCATTTGACCGTGAAGAAAGAGAGATATCAAGAGCAAAATTTACCAAGGATAAGCCACCTTACTTGTGGTTAAAGCAGATGTTTAATAATGGAGAAGAGTTTAAGGATCAGCTTCTGAGGTATGTTTTGAAGATGAATTATGATGTGAAACTTTGCAAATGGGGTCAGACACAGTTGATGGCTATATGCAGTCATGAGAATTGTAAATGGAAGATCTTTTGTTCTGTAGACAAGAGGGTTGGGAAATGGTCAGTCAAAACTTATGTGGGTGCGCATCATCATGCAATCAGTGGAAAGGCTAGGATGCTG